TCGACCCCAACCTAATAGTTGGGTTTTTTACTTTATACGATCGCTTATACTTCTTTAGGGCAGTGTTATTTGGCCATATCAAATTTTGGTGCTGCTGCCGGGAAAAGTGGTTTTTAGAATATCTTTAAGAGCAATAACTGAATTTAAGTCAATAATATCCTAATTTTACTTTTTTTTCTTTGTTTTTGTGTTTTTTAGGTGTAGCTCTAGTGTATTCCAAGTACACGGAGTTGAGGAGAACTAATACTTCCATTTGATCGAGAACTGAACCGTACACTCCCTAGAATGAACGATCCACACAATCCTTCTTATATTGGTGATGGGATCAACCAAGTGATTGTGGAGAACCGTGGTAATGGATCTTGGAGTAGGCAACCTCCCACCCCACGCCCTCAAGAGTATTATAGGAGCAATGTTAAAATCACCGATTCTGATGGTCCTCTTGTCCTATCTCCTCTTCCACGGGGTCATATATTCGTGGTAACTAGTAGCTTGATGCAGATAATCACTGCTAGAGGTTTTTTATCAGGGCTACCATTTGAGGATCCGCATGCTCACATTGCCAAACTGAGGTACGTGTGTAAGAGTTATGTAGGGAGGCCAGACTTGGAAACGGATGTCATCGGATTAATGGTGTTCCCTCTCTCACCGATGGGAGAGGCAAAATTTTGGTTTACTGAATTTCCCTATAATTCAATCTATACTTTGCAGCAGTTAAGGGATGTGTTCCTAGCACGGTATTTCCCGGTGTCTAAAAATCTCAACCACAAATATAGAGTGAACAACTTTGTGGTATTATCTATGGAGTAGGTAAGCAGATCTTGGCATAGGTTCACCTTATTTGTAAGAAGTGTCCCAAACCACCGCATTGTAATGAGTCTTTAAAAGAGTATCTCTATAAAGGGCAAGATGATAATAATAAGGAAATACTTGATATTATTGCTAGTGGTTCTTATGGTGAGTGCACATATGCAGAGATCGCAAAAAAGTTAAGGAAAATTTCCCGAAACAATAAGTCTTGGAGCCCTAGGAAGTCGGACACTAGGAGAAACACCTTTGCGATGCAAGCTACACACATCCCGGCCGCAGATGAGATTCGGGAAGAGATGACTCAAATGAGGACTTAGCTTGGGTTGGTACTGAAGCATGTCACTGAGGGTACAGAGAAAGTGAATGCGGTGAATAATTTTACTAAACCACCACCGCCAACAGTTGACTTCTACTATGAAAAGGATTCTTATGTAGTGAATGAGCAGACGGGGGGTTTTCGACCAAACGCCCAAGGATCCAATTAGGAGAATTAGCGCCAGGGTCAAGGAAATAAAGGTCGGAACTATGGGAATTAAAATTGAGAGGGTTATTATGCTTGAAATGGAAACTATAACCTTGATAACAACTTCAACCAGGGTAACTGTGGTAACAAAAACGATCGGAGTGGACCCTATGTTACACCTAAAAATCTAGAAGTTGCTCCTAGAGATGGTGGAGATAGTATGGCGCGAGTTGAGGGCATGTTGTAAAACATGATGAGGAGGTTTGATGCTAGTGATGAGCACGCCATAAAGTTGAGAGGTGATTTGGATAATATTGGGCAAAAGGTGGATGCACATGCAATCCCAATCAAGCATCTTGAGTTGCAAATGGAACAATTGTCTTCTACTATGAACCCACGTCAATCAGGTACTCTTCCTAGCAATATTGTCTAAAATCTGAAAAATGATGGACATTGCATGGCAGTCACTACTCGAGGGGGGTAAGCAAACAAATTGATCCACTTATGCTGTTTGGCGTAGAAGATGAGGTGAGAAGAGATGATGAATTAGTGAAAGTTAGTGGTGAGTTGGTAGACAAAGCGGTATAAGAAGTTGAGATACCCCACAAGGTGACATTTATTTCGAGACCACCACCACTACTCCCGCAAAGATTTGTGAAGAATATCGAGGTTGGTAAATTCCAGTGTTTTATTACTTGTTGAAACAGCTTTCCATCAATGTACCTTTGATATAAGCTCTTGAACAAATGTCAAGTTATGCGAAGTTTATGAAAAATATGGTTACTAAGAAGAGATCGTTAATTTTTTAGAATGATAACTAGATGCAACATTGTAGTGTTATTCCTAGAAGGTCTCTAGTGCAAAAAAAAAAGATCCAGGCGCTTTCACTATTCCATGTACCATAAGGTTGTTACACTTTGGTAAAGCACTATGTCATCGGGGTGCAAACATAAATCTCATGCCTCTCTCTATTTACAAGAAGTTGAGTTTGGGTAACCCAATCCCTATTGCGATGCGGTTACTGATGCCAGATCAAACGGTGAAGAGGCATATTGGGATACTCTAAGATGTGTTAGTGATGGTGGAGTCATTTATATTTCCGGAGGATTTTGTGATTCTTGATTGTGAGGTGTATTTTGAGGTGCCTAGTATTCTTGGGAGGCCTTTCCTTGCTACCGGTCGCGCCTAGGTTGACATGGAAAATGGCAGATGAAGTTTAGGTTGAACAATGAAGAAGCAACTTTCAACATTTGTAGGTCCATGAAACAGAGTGGTGATCTCTAAATGGTATCTTCTACATCTTACAGGGTTAAGATTACGTTTGTGGTACTAAACAAAGAGTGTCTTAGTGTTGAGGCACTAGCGACAGTGATCATGAATTTTCAGAGTGATGGTATTGAGGAGTACGGCTCATTGGCTTTGTCACTTGATCGAGGTAACATTCAATTCAAACCAAAGAAATTGGAGATCGATATAAAGCACCGCGAGTCTCCACTCGCGAAACCATCTATTAGAAGGCCCCAAAATTAGAGCTTAAGGCTCTACCACCTCATATGAGGTATGTATTCTTGGGAAAAGATGACATTTTGCCCGTAATGATTGCATCGGATTTGAATGTGGAGCAAGTAGAGTGTGTGGCAATAGTGTAAAAGAGGTTCTAATGAGGCATTGGTTGGAATATTACGGATATTATTGGAATTCCACCCGGTATTTATTCACACAAAATCCAAGTCATGCCCTATCATTAGCCAAGTATTGATCATCAAAGACGGTTAAATCCACCTATGCAAGAGGTATTGAAGAAGGAGATTGTTAAGTGGTTGGATGCCAGAGTCATATATCCTATTGCAGATAGTAGTTGGGTATTCCCTGTTTAGTGTGTTCCCAAAAAGGGTGGAATGACTTTGGTCCCTAATAATAAAAATGATCTTTTTCCAATGAAGCCGGTGACCAGATGAAGATTTTGTATGGATTATCGGAAGTTGAATGCATGGACTGAGAAGGACCATTTTCCTATGACCTTCATAGATCAGATGTTAGATAGGCTTGTAGGAAAAAGGTGGTACTCTTTTCTTGATTATTATTCAGGTTACAATAAAATCTCTATTTCACTAGAGGATCAAGTGAAAACCACCTTTACTTGCCCTTATGGGACATTTGCATTCAAGAGGATGCCTTTTGGGTTGTGTAATGCACTTGCTACTTTTAAGAGATGTATGATGCCGATATTCTTTGATATGGTGGAATACATTATTGAGGTATTTATGGATGATTTTTCAGTTATTGGTGAGTCTTTTGATCGTTGTTTGAGTCACTTGGTTGAGGTTCTCAAAAGGTGTGAAAATTAGAACCTTATTCTAAATTGGGAGAAATGTCTGTTTGTCGTGAAAGAGGGTATTGTATTGGGTCATCACATCTCAGATAAGGGGATAGAGGTTGATCGAGCCAAAGTTGAGGTTATAGAGAGACTTCCACCACCCATCTCAGTAAAAGGTGTGAGAAGTTTTCTTGGGCATGCGGGCTTCTACTGGAGTTTTATTAAGGATTTTTCAAAAATTGCACATCCTCTATGCAAGTGAATTGATAAAGAATGTAAATTTTATTTTGATAAATCATGTTTGATGGAATTTTGAGAGTTGAAAAAGAATTTGTCTGCACCCGTAATTATTTCTTCGTTTTGGAGTAAGCCATTTGAGGTGATGTGTGATTCAAGTGGGGTTGCACTTGGTGTTGTCTTGGTACAAAGAATATATGAAATCCTTCACCCCATTTATTATGCTAGTAAGCCCCTAAATCAAGCACAAAAGAATTACACTATGACTGAACAAGACCTCCTTGCGGTGGTATTTGCTTTCAAAAAATTTTGCTAATATTTCCTTGGCAAAAGTCATAGTACATACTAACCACTCCGCTTTGATATATTTGATGGCAAAGAAGGATGCAAAACTAAGGTTGATTAGATGGGTACTACTATTGCAAGAGTTTATTTTTGAGATGAAAAATAGAAAAGGGACCGAAAATCAACTTGTCGATCACTTGTCCAGATTATATGATGAAGTTATGCAAAAGTTGGGTAAAAAGGCTGAAATTTATGATACCTTCCCTGATGAGCATGTATTGGACGTTTCTCATGACTTGATTCCATGATTCGCCAATTTTGCAAATTATTTGTCTAGTGATATAGTTCCATTGGAATTTTCCTTTCATCAGAGGAAAAAGTTCATGCATGACATGAAAATTTTCTTTTGGGATGAGTCATACTTATATCAGAGTTGTGCTGATTGGCTTATTTTTTGTTGTGTGCCGGAAGTTGAGATTCTAAGTGTTTTGGAGGCATGTCATTCCTCACTTGTGGGTGGGTGTCATAGTGGTGTCCGGACTACTCATAAGATCTTGCAATGTAGGTATTATTGTCTAATAAATTACCAAGATGCTCATGACTTCGCCAAGGCATGTGATAGGTGCAAAAGAGATTGAGGTATTTTGAGAAGGCAAAAGCTCCATTTGAATTCCATTCTAGTAATTGAGTTGTTTCATGTATGGGGAATTGACTTTATGGTCCCATGTGTGAGTTCTCATTGGATGAAATATATTCTTGTGGAGGTGTATTTTGTGTCAAAATGGGTAGAAGCCATAGCACTTGCCAACAATAAAGGGAAGAGTTTCACTGCATTCTTGAAAAAGAACATATTTTCCAGATTTGGCACACCTAGGGTTATTAACAGTGATGCGGCAGTCCCACTTTTGCAACACGTTGTTCAAAGGGTTATTCGAGAAATTTGGGGTTCGCCACAATGTAGACACTCCTTACAATCCGCAAATTAGTGGGCAAGTTGAGGTGTCCAACATAGTAATCAAGAAGATCCTTTCAAAAGTGGTAAATGCTAGTAGAACAGATTGTTCTAGGAGGCTTGTTGATGATTTTAAGGCTTACCGGACAGCATACAAGACTCTCATAGGTATGTCTCCATACCAACATGTATATGGAAAGGCTTGTCACTTGCCAGTTGAGTTAGAGAACAAGGCCATGTGGGCAATGAAGAAACTGAAAATGGATTGGGATGAAGCACTGGAGCAGAGACTTAATGGGTTGAATAAGCTTGATGTGTTACGCCTAAAAGAATATGAAAGTTCAGCCCTCTACAAAGATAAAATAAAGAGTAACCATGACGAAAAGATTGAGAAGCACGAATTTGTAGTTGAGGATTTGGTACTTCTGTTTAACTCTAGGTTGCGCTTGTTTCTAGGCAAACTCAAGTCCAAATGGACTGGTCCATTCTTGATCACTGAAGTGTTACCACATGGATCGGTTGAGTTGGAAAACAAGGAGGGTGCAAAGTTCACGGTCAACTGGCAGAGAATCAAAATCTACCTCAGGCATGTGGAGACTTCCCATGAAGTGATTGAGGCATATTACCTTGATGAAGTCTGAGTAATCAAGGGTCTTGCGTTGTGTAGTGACGTTAATCAATCGCTTCTTTGGAGGCAACCCAATGTGTATCCCCTAGCCAACAATAGTTTTTTCTATTCTTTGTAGGAATAGTTGCATTATTTCTTTCATTTTAAGTTACTCAATGTAATATGTAATTTTATTTTATAGTTTTTAGTCTGTTGGGTAGAGAGTAGTTTAGGGTACGTGTCTAAAAAGTGTCTAGAAAAAACACAAAAAGAATGTCTTAACGGGTGCTAAATGTTCAGGGACCAAACCACAAGAATTCTGCAGAAATTAGTCTGGTGCACAGATCTACGGATCAATCGACAGGTCGTCGTTACATTGACGGACCATCGATGGTTTGGTAGTTCCCTGTATGCCTTTAAATTTCCATCTAAGTTAGGGCACAACTGACAGACCCATCAATGGACCGTCGATTCAATTACGAACCCTCGATGGGTTACCGTCAGTTCACAAAATCCAGTGACCCGACCCGACCGGCTATATAAGATTATAAATGTTCATTGACCCTCCCAAACCTTTTCAAATTCCACCCAACTGTTTCCCTCCCTCATTCACTTAACTCTTTGTTTTTTTGTTTTTCCAACTTAGGGATTGTTAGTCTCTTAGAATTCATTGTTGATATTGACAAAATCAAAGCCCTAGAAATGATGAATTGGTATTGAGCCTTATATTACATGGTAGATGTAATAGTTTGTGCTTGAAAGTGTCCATTTTTTGGGATAAAACCAAGCCCCAAGTCCTTTTTCTGGCAAACAACACGAGACCCCGTCTACGGACTGCTAATAGGGGATTAGCGGAAGTGGACTACGATCCGTCTATTTATCAACGGGCCATTCTTCACATCTGTCATTTCTATCTGAAACTTTTCTTTGTGAGATTTTCTACAATTATTCTATGTGTCAAAAGACAGAAGTATACTACGGTCCGTCAATTGATCGACAGGCCGTTCTCCACATCTGACATTTCTAACTAAACGTTCTGAGGAACAAGAACTTCTGAAATTTTCTAAGCGTGCATTAACGGACTGTCATTTCATCGATGGGTTGTCGATGGTGCCGTCTTCTGAGTCTACAGTTCTGCTCTACCATTTGTCCGAAGTTTCCAAAAAAAAATTTTGTTTTTTGTGTGTGTAGTCTGATTATAATAAAACTAACAACTCTCTTTTCACGTACTAATGGCCCCAAAGACAGATATTCTTTATTCCAGGGAATGGTCCAAGTCTGTGGCACCATCCCGGTGCCTGATTGACTCATCTGATAATGAGCGTGATTTTGAGTATGTGCCCCCAGGCACCCAGACCCCGACACCTGCTGCTAGAGACACTCGGGGCAAGCCTGCGGTAGTCACTTCCTCCCAGTCTTATAAGAAGCGTATACTAACTGGCAGAGCGTTTTGGTGTGTATTGAGTTCTTAAGGAGCATCTGTCTCTAAGAAAGCCTTCGATTCTGAGTCTTCCCACTCTACAGGGTCGAATGAGGCCATTGCCTCCGGTTCGAAATCTGAGGGAGCCACTCTCCCAACCAAGCCTGCCAAAAATTCCTCTCTATTGAGGTTTAACTTCGTAGTTTGTTTCGGCGCCCCAGTTTCAGGTCCCTACAGTTCTTGCTGATCAGCCCAACCAATGGTATGTAGAGTGTTAGTACCAGATTTACATGAATACCAAGTAGCTGAACGACAAGGGGTTATGACTCGAACGTTGGAAGTTGAGTGGGATGTTCTGACAAGTAGCCTACACATAGTCCCTGCTATACATGACTTATTCACCTCCCACGAGCTTGAGTGGATGGCTAGGAGTGTTTGACCTTACAGCAAGGAGATTGTGCGAGAGTTATATGCCTCTTACATAGCGGCTCTCCGAGAATCTTTGGATAGGCGGGCTAACCCTGCCAAATAGGGACCACTCACATATGTTCGAGTTCGAGGCTGCCCGGTGGATATTTCTTCTCTACTTATTTGTAGTTTCCTATATGGTGAGGCCACTGATGCTGGGAGGGTCCTTCTCACCCTAGAGTTTGACTACAGGTGGAACGTGGTAAAGAATGGCCATTTTCAGCGGGACAGATATCTGAGAGAGTCCACTAGGTGATGGACCCCAGAGGACAACCTCAATTCTGCATCTAAGTTCATTTGGCTTTTGGTAGGCCATCTCCCATAGCTGCAGATAATATACTTACCTGGGATAGAGCGATTCGGGTAGCAGCTATGGTCGTCGGGTTCAAGATTTTTTTTCTGAGATTCTTGATCTCCGTCATCCATGATAGGGACTATAAAGCCTCTACCACTTACCCATTTTCCTGCATGATTTTTCAGTTGTGCAGGAATGATAGAGTGCCCATTTGGCACATAGATATCCTCCGTACTCCTAACGCTCAGTGGATATTGGTCTCACTAGGGATGAGTCCAATGAGGCAGCAACACGAAGAGGGCCCAAGTAGATGTGCAGCCGCTAGGTGAGAACATGGAGAATACGGTAGAGCAATCCCAATGGGCTGATCATGCTACATCAAAGCCTACCGATATCGCCCCGATCAAGTCTACCCCGGGAACTAGTAGGGCACCGACTAGTCTACACCTCCATCAGTAAAAATTGTCCCGATTGCTTGGGTCCAGAAGTTAAAGGACCAGATGGCCACATTGTTGCACCATATCAAGACTTGGATATAGAAATCCATTGTTGAAGATGAAGAACGGATTGAGAAGAAGGTGGCTCAATAGACGGAGAGGAGAATTCAGGAAATCCACCAGCACCTCGATGCTTTTGAGTTGAGATTCCTAGCATGCCCAACCCCCACCATTGATTTGATGACTCTTCAGGAGGTTGTGGCGATCTTCGGGATGATATTGATGCTATCCTTGATATGAAGGTACCTGAGCCTGAGGCCGCACCTGCGGAGCTTGCGGAGGATACAGTGCTTGATGCACTATTCACTACCACCACTGTATTGCCGCCCCATCCACGTGAGCGTGCCAAGAGGCATGGTTCCAGAGAGAGTGAGGATGTTTGTTCTAGGAAGAAGGAGCGTACTGAGATGAAGGATGCGAGGAGAGATTCATTAATTGATGAGGAGGCTCGGTAGATGAGGCCTCGTGAGTTAGCTGTTAGGGCGTCTAGATCTTGATCAAAGGATGTTGAGAGGATCAGCACAGAGAGTGCAGATATTGTTGTGGTCACCACCGATGGTGGCCCTACTACTGAGGGAGCAGGTTCCAGGAAACCAGACCCGTCGGCTTGTTAATCTTTAGCACTATGCGCCTTAGGTTTGCTTAACCTACCACCTTTGATTTATTTTCTTATTCATTGGGAACAATTGCATGTATTTTTGTTGGGGTGGGGAAAATTGATAGTGAGTTCTAGGTTGAAGTCTAAGTAGCTCAACTGACGATCCTCTCTTTGCAGTTTTCATGCCTGTGTTCTTTTGCCCCAAGAGACTAGTTATTTTACTATTGAACCGGCATGTGCACTATCTTGTACAAAGTATGAATATGAAATACGAAGCATGATGGATAAATATGAATGATATCCGTTCTAAAGAGAATTCTTGCATGATTAGGCATAATGAAGGTTTAATGTGTTGGCTCTAAGCATTACATAGAGATGCACCATTACATTGCCCTTAATCTAACACTCGAACTAGGTGTCCCATAATCTGATAGGGTAATGAGGTGTTAAGAGAGTGTGAGGAAAGTTGATTTGATCCGCATACTTCTTTTGTCTACTCTGGGCTGATAAAAGTTTAGCTTGAATACTCCTTACCTTATCTTGAGAATCCTTAACTAAATCAACTCCCAAAGGTATCATATCTCGAGCCTCTAACTATCCTATGGGTGATGTACATCCTCCCCCATAAGTACCTCAAAAGGTTTCATATCTATGCTGGAGTGATAACTATCATTATAAGAGAATTCACACAAAGGTAAGATTTTAACCCAATGCCCTCCAAAATCAATCAGACATGCTCTCAACATGTCTTTTAACGCTTAAATAATCCTCTAACCGCCCGTCTGTCTGCGGATGGAAGACTGTACTAAAAGTGAGTTGTGTGCCCAATTCATCGTGTAATTTCTTATAAAACATAGAAGTGAGTTGGGTACCACGATCTTAGATAATATAAAGGGGCACCCCATGCAATCTCACTCTCTTTCCTATGCGCTTTAGCCAATTGTTCAGCATTAGAATCTATTTTTACCAGAAAAAATGGGTTGACGTAGTCATCTATCAACCACTGCCCAAACAAAATCAAACTTTCCAAAAGTGGAAGACCAACCAGAAGGTCCATCGCTATTCTTTCAAACTTCCATTCTGGACTTGGCATTCTTTGAAGAAAAATGCAGTCCTTTAATGTTCATTCTTCACTTGTTGACAATTTTGACACTTCTCCATGAACTCTGCGATGTCCTTCTTTATATTCGACCACCAATAAATTTGTTTCAAATTTCTATACATCTTGGTCACACCCGAATGAATAGAGTATTGCAATCTGTGTGCCTCTACCAACATTTTCTCAATCAAGCCCTAGGAACAGATATCCTACCCTTAATATTGAGTAGACCATTCGCATCAAGAGTGTTCTCTTGTTCCTTACAATCGCAATATTCTTTCTAAGATCCTTCTAATTTCCATTTTCAAATTGCTTGGCCTTGATCTCATCAATTAATGTGGACCTCACATCAATACTATCTAATACCCACCTCTTTCTAAGACGCCTAATTTCTTGAATTTAGACTCCAAGGTCTGTATTAATTTGGCCAGAGGTCGTTTGGATACACTCAAGCAAGCTAAACTACCCATAATCAGCGCTTTTTGACTCAAAATGTCTACCACCACATTAGTCGTACCCATATGGTATTAGATGGTCACATCTATAATTAACTCCATCCACCTTTGTTGTCTTAAATTCAGATCCTTTTGAGTGAACACATGCTGCAAACTAAGATTATTGGTAAACA